GATCATTTCCACACACGCTCTGACTTGACGAATAAATGTAGCAAATAAATAAGTCGACGTAATCATAGCAATATTGACGCTTGGGGATGATCCTGACGGAATACCATCCACACACAACATTTGAACTTGTGACCAATTGTGCTCAATTCAGTACTGGAAATGATGAGGCCAGTAAAGATTAGGTCAGAGGGACATCGACGCATCATCAGAAATTATCGGCGACAACTAGCAACTATGCTTTGAGTAGAGGTCGAGAGGCACAAGCGGGAGTGAGCTGCAATCTCAGAATGAGACAGAAAAACTGGGATTGTATGTCGCGGTATTGCTGCTGATACATGAATAAGCGATTGTTTGTCTTAGTCAATAGATTGTACCTGCAGCGACGGGATTGCCGCGCACCTTTCACAGGGAGATTTAAAATAAATGGGCTCGTACGCCTCAATACAAAGCCAAAGAGAGAGCTGTTTGGGAATAAATGCATACAAATACTGCCTTAGTGAAAGAGGCTTTGTCGACATGGAAAGATAGAAGCAACATACGTTGCGAGTGTGCACAGCCCAATCAGGCGTTTAGGACGCGTAAAATTCTTTGTCCACCCGTCATTTGAGGTGAGAACTAGTGGGTAATAAAGAACGTTTGTTTGCTCAATGGCGTCCAGCCCGCAGTAGCTATTAATCTCTCAAATGATTTTTAAACGGACTCGGATCGTAGCGAGATCTTACGCGTCAAATTTACCTATATTAGAGAGTGCTAAGTGCTGCATTGAAGGTAGAAAGCATTTTTCTTGCTGTGAAAGCCGGATGGGTTTCTGGTAGTTAAAGTGCTACGAGCGCACCGCAAGACATGGACTTCCATATTACCAAGATGATAGACTGAGCTTCTACTATACAGCTTCGCCGTGCTTCCCAGTCTCAGCGGTAGAAATTCTAAACATCTGTGCCATACGCTCCCCCGTTGCTCAGTCTGACAGCTACAAAAATTCGTGCTTCCAAGCAATAATATCTGACTGCAATGAAACATTGAGTCTCAGTGGGCTTTGGTGAAGAGCTGCACTTTGTTGTACCGCATGGGAGCTCTGGACAACGGGACCCAGTCTTCTTAAGTTTTTTTTCTCCTAGAGTGGTGGGGATCACAGCCCAATGTTGATGGTAGTTGATATCAACGCCCCAGGCTTTTGCAAAGACACCAGAAGTCTAGTAGATTAAGAAGTGTCGTGCAATCGCAAGCCTTGCAACTATCCAAAGCAGTAGATAGTGGACAGAGTGAAGAAAAGAGAAGAGAACACTGAATACGATCCCATAATCGTGAGACCTGCGAAGGAACACCTTCAAAGCTTCAACTATTATGTCGAGTCTTCAAGTTAATTTTTGAAATTCGACAACGTGAAACCTTGTCTTTTTTCTGGACCAAGATTGAGTTACGATTGCATTCAAGGTATGGCGTATTCAAACCACATGATCCATTGTTCGACTCAAATTCGGAAACATCAGGTGCCACATACTTCTCTATGTATATTTCACTAGAGAGTCGTGATCCTGATTCTGCCAAGAAGCTGAAAATTTTGGTGTAAGTAGCCGCAACATCCTCCGCGAAGGATAAAAAGGATCAATTTTGAATTTGAACAACAACGACTCATCTTGGTCACGATGTGACGGTAATGCGGCGTCAATACTACCGTGCGGTTGACCCATCGTACGGGGTAGTGAAGATACACGAACAAGTGGCGAGAAAGAGCTTAGTAGTGAGAGCTGGCACATTACGCCGGCAGTTTTTTACTTTCCGTAGTTTATCAGCCAGAACAATCCTGGAACGTTCTTTTAAGCATGCAACGCTTTAGTCGAAGCAACCTCCCGACCACCTGAGAGCGAACGAAAAAAACAGCGCTTGAGAAGGTAGTTTCGAAACCTCTCATCGCTGAGATGATGAGAGTTAAAGAAGATCATGGCCGACACTCGGATATCAAGCACAAATATATTTATATATGTTGATAATTACTTCTCAAACAGTTTATCAATAGCAAATACTTGCTGCACTGACTTGCCCTTGTATTTGCCGAAATTTAGTAGGTACGATCCATCGTCGGATTCATTTGCGAAAATGCTCGCAGGAAATTTAGCCATGTCCTCATCTAAATTTGATTGATTACGGAGCCAGCGACAATAGCTTGGATCTTTATCAAGTACCTCCTGGATAGTGGAGTTTTTGTACTTGCCGAATGTTAGTGTCGAACTCATGATATCTGTATAGATAGCTGCCAGAATTTATCAAAATTTAAATTATTTATGCAGTAGTAAAATCAAGAACCTCACCCGTTAGACGATCGTAGGATAGCTCTTGCTCACTCACAACCAATACAAGCATGTTGGTTCCCTGGCACTTAGTTTCCTTAACCTGAATCGCCTGAGGTACATCACGCTCCGTTAGGCGGCTAACGTCAGCAATAAGAACACGGTCAGTTAGCGACCACGTCTGATAGTCAAGAAGACCATTCACCAGCTCAGGAGTTAGATCACCATTAATCGAAGCAATCTTAGCGATTTTGTTAGTGAAGTGGTGATAATCGTAATCATGGCTGATATCAAAGGTCTGCTGCGAACCGATACGAACGTTAAAGTTGCGAATGCTCGAACAGGGTGAAGCGTCCAAGGCGCCGAATCAAAAGGACTTTGGAACTGCTGTACAGCTGCAGCATTTAAATTACTAGTCTGCTCAGCAAAAGGAAGAAGGATAACATACTTAGCGTTCTTCACAGACGCTGATAGCTGTAGATCAAAGGCTGTTTTCGTACCATGACGGGCTTCACGCTCTACATCATCGCCACAAGGCTTGTAGTCCTTGACAGTTTTCTCGATATCATCAGCTTCAACCATAGTAAGTACTGATCCCCTATCATCGACCATCTTGAGAAACG